CCCCAAAACCCCAAAACCCCAAAACTTCAAATAACTTTGAATTTCCTAATTATGTTTTTCTCGAATGATCAAATAAATAATTATTTTATTTTGACCAAGTTTGATCACTTGGTACACCAATGATCATATTAAGAATAAATCAATTTCAGTCTTTCAGATCTACTCTTGCTCATTACCTTTTTGAATTTAATTTTCTTGAATTTTTATTTCTTCTTTTAATTCTATTCTTCTGTCTAAATATCTTCAAGAGCATGATTTTAATCATTATCTTCTAAATTATTCTAATCAGCATCATCAGCAAACACATTTTTCAGAAGCTATTCAATTTTAATGTTTCTTTGATTTATTCTAAATGCATTCTTAATCAACTAATGTCTAAACTTCTCATTAACTAATCTTTACCTCTCCTCCTTGAGCTTAATATCCTCTATCTTAGCATTTTCAACCAATTTTTCAAACGATATCTTGGGTTTTTAACTAATAGGCTTTATATTCATGATTATATTGACATTCTGATTCAACTTTATGAACTTTTATTCTTCTCTTTTAATCTAAATATTTCTCCTTCTCAACTCTAATAGCTGTTGCTTTTCTGTTTACTCATCTAAAACTATAGCATCATCTTTAAGATATTTGTCAAATGAACTGTCTGTTTTGAAACTATTGGTAGAGTATTTAAAAGATATTGTTGAGCTTTAGATTTCATTATCTTCACATGAAAGTATGTTCTCATTTTTTGTGGTTTAATGATCTAACTCCAAAATAGGAGACATTTGTATATTCATTGATACTTTCATGCCATTTTCAAAATTCATTAAGTCTTATTGAGAATTGAACTTCTGGCTTTTCTGTTTTTTCAAAGACTAGATTGAGATTGAATCTTATTAGTCCCTTGAATCTGCTTAGGCTTAATATATATTTGGTTAATTCAACTTCAGAGATCTTTGACTCAACAACTTTCTCAAGTATTATCCAATTACTCTCTCCTTTGGCAATTTATCTTTTTGAATAACTTGATCTTATATATTCAGATACTTTCTTTGACTTAATATTTCTCTATTTCTTTTAATGAGTTACTGGTATCGCTTGATTCTTTAAGTTGGTAGAAACATGGAAGTTTCTGTCAACATTCTAGGTGATTCACTTTTAACACTGCTTCTTACGCTTTGCTAAGACCCCTGTTTTCTAAATCTTTTCATAGATCTCTATTCATTGTAGATTTTTTGTCATTAGAGTAAACTTACTCCTGATACCTTAGCAGTTCTTCTGTCAAAAGCTATTTCATCTTTACTTTTAATGAAAGGATATATTGGTTATGCTAGATTTTACACTCTCGTCTTTATATTATTTTCCTCTTTAGTTTTACTCTCACCACAGCATGTGCATGTGCAGCTTTTAGTCCTTATCAATTAATTAAGATCATATTAATCATTAGAGGAATATCTTCGATTGTTTTAGTTTTGAATAGGAATGCAGTCTTCTTAATCAAGGCTTCTTTGTTTTTCATATTATCCCTCTTTAAATTTCTTAATTTTAATCTTACTTTATTCATACTCTGCATCTCTGAGCTTAATTTCTTGCTCTTATTTTAATTAGTTATTCTCTACTTTTTATAAATCTAGTCTTCGATGTTTTTGGAATTGCATGAAATGCTTGTAAGCTGTTGATTTCAAGTTTTACGCTTGCTTATTATGAGATTCCTAGATCTATTTTAAATTTTAGTGGTTAATTTTTAGTGCTCCAAGATTTATGAGTTTCTTGCTAAAATAATTTTTGGCTTCTTAAGAAATTACTCCATCTAGTAATTATTGAGTAAATCTAATTTTCTGATCCTATTATTAATCTTAAATCTCAGATGATCTGTGATTTTAAATAAGAACACTTCTTTTTAATTTCGATCTTAACTTATTCTGATTTTGATGATACTATGATCTAATTCGATCAATATTAGGCTCAACACTACCTTTCCTTCTGCTTTAAGAATTCTGATTTTAAAAGGATTATTTGGATACTGAATTTTGATTATTAAATAAATTTAATTAAATCATTATTAATTTCTTTACTACTATTATGCCTCTCTTATTTAAAGCAGCTGGGGTTTTGGGGTTTTGGGG